AGGTCGTCACTATTTCCCCTCCCAGCTGCCGTGTCCTACAGACTCGCGAGGTTTCAGCCCTTCAGTTGTCCTCATTTTCTTTGGCCCTTTCCTTGAAGGACCGTGACACATCCCCCAGCCGTGTGTTTGCAGGACCCGGTGGCTGCTCGCTGGATGCGCTTTCGCATTGTTAAATCGTGTTTAAAGAAAATAGCTCGCAGCGTCCTGACACACGTACTTAGCGTCTCGCTGGGCTGCGAGCACCAGCCAATATTCTGCTTTTCGTTCCGAATGACACAGGAAAAACGGAATGTCTCACCTCCGACCCCGGGAAGGGTCACACAGATGGCTTCCAGGCTCGGCAGAGTTTTAGGACACGGGATAATTCCCATGCACATTAGCTATGCTGCTTCCTCTTGTATGACTCCAAGATATTTGCAGCTGGAAAGTCAGAGGTCCTGCGTGCTCGAACCACGAGAGCAGAGCCGGAGAGCTTTGCCAGGAGGGGTCTGAGCTGGAATTTCCTTCGGCTACATATTTAGACTAGGAGAGACCTGAGCCGCGGAGTTCACATCTGGGGCTGAGGGTGCTCCCAGGCCGGGAGGAGGATGCTCGGGAGGCAGAGGTGGGCTGTGCCGGCACACTGCCATTACCCACCCCAGCTGGGGCTCCAAAGGTGCCTCCATGCCTTTGGCTATCACCGAGCCAAAATTAAGCAGTCACTGAAGTTCAAAAATCCATGAAATCCGTACCAAATCCACGAGAGCTGCACGGGGGCACGGCCACGAATCCCCTCTCGCTTGGCAGCAGCTGAGCAGGCGAGGAATGGAGTGAAGGTCATTTGGAGGTGAAAAACTGCCTGATGAGAACAGCAGCAGCCGCCGGCCCCGGCTTCCAGCGCTCGCAAAAGGTGGAGGCTCACTGGGCTTGGCTGGAGCTGAGCTCATCCCCTGCAGCTGGAGGCTGTTCCCCCTCCCCGCGGATCTGCTGACAGCCCAGAACTTGCTTTTGGGTCAAAAATTCACAGCAGCCGCGGCCGAGCAGGAAAGTAACTGTGCTGCTGTGGAGAACACACGTGTGTGTGTGTATGAGTGTGCACACGTGTGTGTGTGTGTGTGTGTGCGCGCACACGTGTGCGGGTGTGTGAGCCACCGCGCCCCAGGGAGGATGTGTTGGATGTGGGATGCACACCCTGTATCCTGGCAGTGACCTGCGCTGCGATGGTTTTTGGTGGCCAGTCGTGGCCCTGTGATGCCTGGCACTGGGTGTCTGTGCTCCCCAGTTCCAGAAGGACAGGGAACTGCTGGAGAGGGTCCAGCAAAGGGCTACAAAGATGATGAGGGGACTGGAGCATCTTTCTGATGAGGAAAGGCTGAGGGACTTGGGGCTTTGTAGTCTGGAGAAGAGAAG